CAACCACATGACCTCCTCGTCACTGCCTGTCTGTACAGACCTCCAGGTCTTCTATGGTTGGTATTGAGATTAAAGGCGTGTGTCTCCATGCTGGCTGTATCCTTGAATACACAGAGATCTACCTAGCTCTGCCTCCCAAGATCTGGGATTAATGGCGTGCGCCACCAACGCCCTGCTCTGCTATGGCTTGCTCTTAGCTCTGACCCCCAGGCAACTTTATTTATTAACATACAAATAAAATCACATTTCAGTACAAATAAAATATCACCATAATACCTAGAGCTTCGTGCATGTTAGGCAAATTCTCTACCAACTGAACCGCCTCTCCAGTATGAATATGAACATATATGCACACATATACATATTTTATATGTGTGTGGGTTTTATATGCATGTATGTATGTATACCACATGAGTGTCTGATACCCACAGAACCAGAAGAGGGTATTAACCCCCCGGAACTGGAGTTAAAGATGGTTGTGACCCACCATGTATGTACTAGGAACTGAACTCAGGTCTTCGGCAACAGCAACAGTGCTCTTAACTGGTGAGCCATCTCCCAAACACCCCCCAGCCCCAGTTTTTACATTTTCATCGTCTGTCATTGGCTGCTGTGTTATGTGCACCTAGGATACCCTAATGATCACTGTTATTTTTTTTTATTATGTTTTTGAGAAAGCATCATGTATAGATGAGGCTGCCCTTGAAATTTCTATCTCCTGCACTAGCCCTTGAGTTTTGGGATTACCAGTGTGTCTCACCACCCCCTGCTTGATGGTTGCTATGGTTACAGGTGTGTCCCACCATCCCTACTTGGTTGTTGCTATGGTTACAGATGTCTCTGCTTGACTGTTGCTATGGTTACAGGTGTGTCTCACCACCCCTGCTTGATTGTTGCTATGGTTATGTAATATTTTCCTGGGTAGTGACAAATGATGACATCCTGAATTCATGAGCATACCTGTTGAAGAAATATTTTTTTCTTTGGATAATCGATTTTTTAAAATTTTATTTTGAGATAAGGTCTCACTAGTCCTGGCTGTCCTGGAACTTGCTCTGTCAACCAGGCTGTCCTTGAACTCACAGAGATTCACCTAGCTCTGCCTCAGAGTGCCAGGACTAAAGGTACGTGTCACCATGCCCAGCTGATGACTACTTCCTTCAAACTGACCCCAGGCTATGGTGACTGGGGAAGGACAAATGGGTGTCTTCTGCTTCCTGCCTTTTGCTGTCAACTTTCTTTCCAAAGGGCCTGTGTCCGTCACAGGGCAGAGCCAGCCAATTTGATCAAGGCCTGATTTTAAAGCTACTTAAAAAAATTCTCTATGGAGCCAGAGTCTGAATAATGTGTAAATCATGACCTTCAGCCAAAAAGGCCTGGAGAACCAGCCAGCCCTGGGAGCCAGATGCTAAATGGGGCCAAGAACTCAAATCCAGGGCGGTGGTGGGAGATGGATGGGGTGGGGTGAAGTAGGGCCTGTGACAGGGTAGTCAGTGGGATGGCTCTGGGTTCAAGTTCAATGCTGGAACAGGGAGGAACAATTAGCTCATCAATTTGTAAGTTACTTTAGTTTCTTTATTATTTGCTCTTTATAATGTACACTTCCAGCTTAAAAACAAACTTGTGTGTATGATGTATGTGTATGTGTGCAGGCAAACATGGACCATGGTGCATGTGTGGAGGTCACAACAAGCGTGCATGTTGGCCCTCACATTCTGCTTTGAGGCAGGGTCTCTTACTGTTCACTCTGTGTTCCAGGCTGGCCGGCCTGCAAGCCTCCGGGAAGCCCTCTGTCTCCATCTCCTATCTCAACAGAGATGTGCCGGGATTACAGATGTGTGTCACCATGCCTGGCTTTTACATGGGTTCTTGGGAGTCTCAACTCAGGTCCTCACGCGTGTGCAACAGATGATTTACCCATTGAGCTATCTCTCAGGCCCCATCTCCAGATTTTTAAACGGAACTGTCTGACACTGTCAAGTACTGACAGAACCAGCTTCAGTCCTGGCAGCGACATGGCAGCGACAGCCACCTGCTGCATTTTCTGTCTGTCCCTTGACTACTCATGCTCATCCCGAGGCAGAGAAATTTGTTTTGTTCACAGATGTAGCTCAAGTGCTTAAGTGAGCACACAGTAGGCGCACACTGAGTCTTGTTGGCTGAACAAGGTGCTTAAGTGAGCACACAGTAGGCACACACTGAGTCTTGTTGGCTGAACAAGGTGCTTAAGTGAGCA